TCCCCAACTAGATTTTTACTTTCCCTCAAGCAAAGTATGCCTCTCATTTTAAACAAGAGGATTTGCTCAAGACTAAGATTCACCCATGAATGGATAAAATGGCTCAAACACACAGAATGCACACAAGAAATGGTATCAAATGTTGAGAATCAAACAATGCATAAGAACTAAATTCTTAAAGCAAATATAAATCCATGCATCAATCAACAACTATGTTTTTCATGAATGAATCACTCTATCTCTTCGAATAAGGATTGAAGAAATTACGCGTTTGCAACCGCGGGGAAAATTTCACTCACCTAACAAACAATGGCAATATCAATTCAATTCATACAACATCTATCAATCAAAAGTGAAAATATGGAAGAAAAAAGATCACTAAAGTCTTTAAGGTTGTAGCTTGGTCGGGTTTACAAACAAGGAACATTTCTAAGGCCATTGAAACGAAATTGCCGATGCAAAAGAAATATTCACTGTACATGTTATTTACACACTCCAACTTCATTCCATTTGGTTCTTAATTGCAAACCTTCCCAACTTTATTTCACAACTTATTCTTTCACTATTTTTCTTTTTCAAGCAAGCATTCTTTTTCTCTTTTTTATTTTTTACATTCATATTCACATAACAATTTTTTTTAATGCTTGCTTGAATTTTTCAAAAGTTGTAGCAACCTACCATCTTTATTTTTTATTCTCCCCAACTTAACTTTTACTCAACCCTCAAGTGAATGCTCTTGGCTTTTTATGGCAAAGAGGACAATTACAACAAATTCAAGGGTTCAAGAAAATTTTTAGAATCTCACAAAATTCAGAATGAGATTCACATTGTTTAGGCTCAAAGGGGTTAACGAATTCTCTCTACTCACGGATAAGTTACATTTGGACATGGTTGTGCTCAATAAAAAATAAGTGCCTTGATCATTTCTAATGATTCCACAAATTCACAATGATAACAAGATAAATCATGAATCACACGAATAAAAAAAGTTTATCAGAAATCCATCATTTAGTAAACAACAGAAGCTTTCTCACAAATTGTGGTTTTTGGTCCTAAGTGAAACAATAATTCAAACAAGTTGCCAAAAGAACAAATTCCATTTGCACAAAGACTTAAGTTCTTAAGCATTCTAAAATTCTAAACAAAGGTAACCATGTACCTTGACAACATTCACTTGTTTCATACTATCATTGTCATCCAAACTCGGTCGAAACTTCATTGAATGCTTTTATACCAATAGCAACCATTCTAAAAGGAGTTCTCATCAATCCTGAGCACACTAGAGAAAACATAAAAAAAAGTATATACATACAATATAAACAAATATACAAAGCTTAAAATTATAGAACCGTTGCAATGCACTTCAATATCTCAACACCAATCCCCGACAATGACGCCATTTTGTTGGTGCGGTAAAGCAGCAAGCAAAAAATATTAAGTACCCAGTTTTGTCGTCTCCACAGGGATCGGTGTGATACGAACGTCGTTCAATGTTCTCCATATTTCTAAGCCTATTGTTCAAAAGTTTTGGTTTAAAAGGTTCAAGGAACCATGGATAAAAACAAAAAAACATAAAGACAGAAAATATAAAGTAAAGACTGAAATATAAACGAAGCCGTGTTAGGATTAGATCTCATCAATTGATAACACATGCACTCTTCTGATCAAGTTAAACACAACACAATCACTCGTCTAATACCCTTACGTATCACCCACGACAGAGGTCATCTCTAACGCAACATCGAGAGAACAACCGTATTGTCTCATTGGTGATGTCTCATCCAACAAAAACACAACACAGAGCATTAAGAACTGATACTCATGCAAATGCTAAGCCTAAACCTATGTCTAGCATTTAGGACCTAACAGGTAATCATCCTAGATCCAGATCTGAAGAGTATATGTCTATCACGGTTCAAATCAAAGATAAACATGTAAGCAAAGATGACACCCATATCGGATAAACGATTGTTTTGCATAAAACACAATGATCAGAATACGTACATACGCTTAACCCTTTTTACATATATTCACCTAATCTGACAAATGGTTGTGAACATCATTCTTCATCACTATTATCACGTACCCGCACAATATCGTATTGATCATACTCATGCTACCCATGCAACTTAATCAACATAATACCATAGAAGATACAATGAATATCAACTTACAAAACCATGTCAAAAGTTTGTTCATTGATAGAAGAAAATCTGAGATCAAAGATGTGAAACGGTTTTGTAAAGACCCACAAATAAGCAATCAAAGATAATCAATCAATAGAGAATCCAAACTAGTTCACAAACATATACTAGATGAAATACATAAGGTATCAAAAGATTACATCCAAACCCCAACAAGAGATCAAAGATCTTACCTCCTCCCTCTTAAGGTTTTGTGTTTCTCTCTCTAAAATAAATGAAGAGAGATAAGTTCTGATGTATAAAAAATTACATATTAGATAATGACCTAAAAAGCAATAAAAATACTTATATAGTACATTCAGGATATGTCATGTTCGCCTAGTGAACAGATCCTTCGCCTAACGAACAACAAATTAGGCACCCGAGGTGCCTCTGAACAGTTAAGCCGTCCCTGAGATATTTCCAAATATTTGTTGGGCGAGAAATCCTTTGCCTAGCGAAGCCTTCACTATGAACTTCGCCTAGCGAGTTTATGGTCCTTTTGCCTCTGTCTCAAGTCTGGGAGTGTTCGCTAGAGATTCGCTACCACTTCGCCTAGCGAGTTTAGGGCCCTTTCCATTCTGTTGTGAACAGTGCATTGATTCCTGGTCTTCCCTACATAGTTCGCCTAGCGAACTTGATGATGTTTTGATGGCAGGTTCGCTAGCAAGTTCGCTAGGCGAACTTGCTGTTGTTTGCATGCTGTCTTGATTTCTTTGTCATATTTCTTGTGTCTTAATTTCCATTTTTTTCATGCCTAATTCCTGCACAATAACACACAAATCAAAAGTACCAAGACATTTACACAATATGTTGCAAACCAACCAAAGTAAGAGTGGTTTTCAACACTTTCTTGACAAAAAGGAGTGAAAGATGTCCACATTTGATAGATCAAATAAGCAAAGTTGGGTATCTAACAGTACTGCATGCATCTAGAGTCGAGTTGTGAGTCCGGTTCAGAGGGGGGACCGTGACGAGCATGAGTTGAATCAATTTTCGCATTGCATTATATAATAATTGTGCAAATAAGATGCTTGTGTATTGATGAATATTCTGGTATGATTGTGAGAGTTTGACTATGATGTGGGTGATTTGTAATACATGATATTTGAGGTGCATATCTGATATGTATATGACTCTGTAGTGAACGTGAACTTATCCTGATTGTTTTGTGCACCGTTTATTATTTGAATGTATTTTCACCCCTTTTGTGTTATTGCTTTTATGCTCCTCTAGAGTACAGATAATCAGGCATCTAAGTAAGATCTTGAGATTTAAGGATGGCGTTGTGTCTCTTTAATTGCTTGTAGTTTGAATCTATAATGGAGTCACTGTGATACGTAACATGAGGGGGGGCGGGTTGTTCTTTATTTATTTATGTTGCAATACTTTTTCTTTGATTTTATTTTACGATGAACTTCTTTTCAAACTAATATTATTGTGAGACTTTTTATGCTGAGTGTTTTATAATTCCACTACTTATCAAATAGTTTAAATTTTTAATTATGTAGTTTAAATATAAGTTGTGTGTATGTTGAGTAACATTCCATTTGATGAATTTATGTTTTATTTAATTATTTTTTAAGTCAAAAAATAGAGTGTTTCAATAACCGGTTATGCTCTCGATGTAACCGGTTAAAAAGACCTTGAATAACAGTTTTTCACAACATAAATCAGATAGTCCAAATCCATCCATACTATCATTTCTTCAAGAAACTGTTTTAGATAGTCCAACTTTTTAATTCTAGACATAACCATGAGAAGTGCATTGCAAACTCTTGAATAATGTGGTTGTTCGGTTTTTTTCACCCGCCTAAAATATTTAAATGCAACATTCACATTCTTTACCCTTGTCATCACTCCAACAATCACTTATGGTTAAGACATTTCATCAAATAAGTTGAGCACATCCTCAACAACAAATCTCCAAGGATTAATATCAACATAAACCCTAATCCAAAAAATATTTCAAAATAATAAAATAAAAAAAAGTGATCAATATCAATATAAGATGAAAGAATCTATTAATGTTGCTTAACTATTTATATCATGTTGCTTGACTATAATTTATTAAGGAATTACATTCATTAAAAATAAAAATAAAAATAAAAGTAAGAATGTGAAACTTATTAAATGTGAGAGATCAAGATGCTTAGTTTCAATTAAAAGGAGTAGAAGTTGACGAAAATGTCTACTTTTGAATATATATATATATATATATATATATATATATATATATATATATATATATATATATATATATATATATATATATATATATATATATATATATATATATATATATATATATATATATATATATATATATATATATATATATATATATATATATATATATATATATATATATATATATATATATATATATATATATATATATATATATATATATATTATGTGCATTGGGTGTGATTGCGATGAAAAAGTTTGTTGTGTGTGGATTTCAATTTCTAAACAATGTCAAAGGGATATTTTCAAATTTTCACCTGAGTGCGAGAAAAATAAAGGTGCAATTAGCAATTTTCATATAAAAATTCTAATAATGGTTGCATTGGAATGGATCGGATGATAACTTATATATTTTTCTATAATAAATTTGTTAGATCGAACGGCTGAGATCATTAATGCAGTTATAACAGAGAATCAGTTTCTCTCTTAGTGTTTGATTAAGTTTATTTATAATGCATTTTTCTAAACAATTCTAGTCTTGAAAATGTTGAGGAAAAATGAATTTATATTACATATTTATAAGCTATTATCTAAATCTAATCTTCAAAATGTTTTCAGAATTTGTCATCAATATACAATTCTTGTTGATCCAGGAAATGATCTAGATAACCAAAAATGTTTCAATTTCACTATCAAAATAAATAATCCATAGCATGGAAAATGCATCAGAGCCACTACCAAGTACCTGAAAAATCCAAAACATACTCATCAATCACTCATAAAATTGATTTATGTTAAACTTTGTAACACAACAGTCAGAATGCATTTCAGTCGTTAAATCAAGATCACACCGTTCATATTTCAAACTTTAATTACATTTGAACTGTCTGATTTTGATCTAACGATTATAAATATCTTAAATCCGTGAATACAGTATTTTCGTGAAATCGGGAGCATACCATAAAGGTGCATATGAAGATGACAAATCAAGAAAAGGATAAGGCCACCTGTGATAAATAAATAAACAAAGTTTATCAAATTATAAATGAACAAAATCATTCATGTAGAAATAAATAAAAGAATGCTAGTTTTTACCAAACTGTAACACAAGCATGGATTATCCACTGAATAATCACAAATGCAGCTGTCCATAACACGAAATAAGCGAATCGAAACACCGGAAATCGCTGCATGTTTAAGCATAACTAGTTGTTAATTTCAGTTTCTTCAACATGCTAAACTATAAACTGCTATATTAAACTTACCATGCAATTCAATGATGTGTCACCAATGAGGAAAACAGCATTAATAGTGTGCATACAAAAAACCAACTGCAAGAATGAAAAATGCAAATATGATTAATGCAATTAATCTCAAATTAATTAGCATTTTCAATGTTAATGATACTTACAAAATCAAGACTGTAATGATTGGATGTTCTTAACGGATAAAGGATGAACCAGAATACAAAGTCGGTGAGAAACACCGCACCTGCACAAATCTATAAAGAAAGTTGTCGTAAATAAACTATCCTTAACCTCGATTGCAGATAATATAATATAAGACTATTTTAGTGTATCAGAACAAAAACCAATATTTTACTATCCAAATCGCCTAGATTAATATAAACCGAACTAAATTACCTGATAAATTATTTGAAAAATGTAGCCCCAAACACCAGCAATTTTCCTGACATGAAATTCCTGATTATGATTCTTAGTCAGTTCAGGAATATCTAAAACTCTATCAAGAGTTGGAACCATAAAATTGCTTACTGCATCTAAAGAAGCACCATTCACTGTTCTTCCCCTAAATTCATTCTGCTTTAATAAGCATCCAAAAATTGAAAAACATGTCCCAAGCTGAAAGTAAAAAAATTGAGAACCAGGTCACTTACGTAATATATCACATTTTTCATGTTAAAAATGTTAAAAAGAGGGTGAAATTCAAAGTGTTACCCCAAAGTAAATAGTGACCAAAGTAAAAGTTAATCTGTTCAACACAAAAAAAATAAACACAATATCAGTATAATATTTTTATCCTGAAGGTGTCGTGATTTATAGTCTCTCTTGGACAATTCAAACGCAAAACGTTTTATAAAGACAGCAGTTTAGTTCGCGACTCGACCCAATAATTTCTTCTGAGACAGTAATAAACTTACTGAGTATAGTAGTAAAATATGCCAGGTCCATCGGCGGCAACATTAGCAATGATCAAAGCCAAAAGAACAATAAAAGAGATGATTCTATAAAGAAGAAGCCAAGAAGGATGAATTCCTATAAGACATGTATTCCAAGCTTCATCTTCATATAACAATCCATCTGTATCTTGATGATTTTCGCGTCTCTCGGAAGATCTTTGTTTGTTGAATCCTTCATACTTGAAAATTAAATAAGATGCTAGACTCATTGAGATTAATAGCCATAGTGCACAAAAGAAGAATCTCCAATTCAACCAGTAACTTGATGTAGTTGTATCTGTTGTCATTGTTGGTTGCCATGTATGGCTTGGTGACCATGTTATGAAACCCATGAATAATGATGAGTTATTAAGAAAAACTAGAATTATATATCCATTCAAGGAATGATGTGCAAATTGTATGAATTTCAATAGCAAAATTTTAAGGAAAATTTCAAACTAAAAGGTTGCTTCATCAATATTTTTAAGGCTATTACATTTATATTCCTTGCTTGAGATGAGCATGGCCAAAAGTGCATAAAGTTGAATACTTCATTTAAATGGTTCCAAATGGAAAGAAAGGTGTGGCATATTAACTATTGACAAGTAAAATTCAGAGAGCATAGATGCTTTGCTTCATCCTTTTTATGGTTATAGATTATGTGTGTGAGAGAGAGTTATGTTGTGTGAAGAGTATAACCTCAAACACAAGGAATATGGTGTGATAGATAAATGGCATAAGATGCCTTTTGGATTTGTGGGGTGATTAAAATCACACTTAAAAGAAGAATAGAATATTCATAACTCATAACTAAACAAGCTTCATTCATTTATTTATTTATTTCTTAATCTTATTATCAATTTATAAGTTTGTATCCTTCGGTTCTTGGATGTATGTAGAGTCAAATTCATACTTAACTTTTCATTAACGTTAATCATTACTTCATTATTGCTCCTTCGGTCCCTTTTTATAAACAATTTTTGAGGTAGGTCAATTTTTTAAATAAAAGTGCTTGTAACACATTCTCTAATGTTTTTTTTCTATACTGAAATTAAAGTTGATTGGTGTTGTACCCTAAATTTATCCTACCTTTATATAGTTTCTAGTGCTACTTTATTTTAAACGAATAAAATGGCACAATTGGCAAGAGACCGTGTGTGAGGAGTTGTGATATAAACATGAGTTGCATTTGAAAAAAGGGGGAGAAGGAGACAAAAAGAAAAACGGTTCAGAAGAGCTTCGAAGCTAATCTTTAAAATTAAGTTTTAAAGATTACAAATTAAAACATGTTAGAAAGGGTTAAAAGTTTTTTTACTAGAACTTTCTTTAAAATTTTAAAACTAACATTCTTTTAAAGTAAAACTAACGAGTTTTTTTAAATGTAAACTTCTTTTAAACAAAACTTATGATTAAAGCTTTTTTTTTTTTAATTTAAGACTTTCTCTTTTAAAAATTAAAATTAAAACTTTTCTTTTTAAATTAAGATTAAAACTTTCTAAAGATAAAAAGTTAAAACTAAAGTTTTGTTTATTTAAAAATTAAAACCTTTTAAAATTAAGACTAAAATTTTAATAAAAACAAAATATAAAAATTAACAAAACAATAATAAAAATTCCAAATTGCATTTTCGTGTTTCTTTTAATATAAACTGTGTTTGCCATATTTCCGTCTAACTTTTCACTAATGTTCTCTATTTCTCTCCTCAGATTATACATAGATTCCAATTCATATTTATTTCAATTTATTTTGTTCCATGGATGTAATTTATGCGAGGCCATGGTCGCGGTTTTATTTTATCTTTTTTTGGGGATTTGTAATTTACGCGAGTGATCGTCGCGGCGCTTTCTTTACTTTCTGCATTTTAATTTCTGCCATATAATATCTTGCCATGTTTGCATAATTTACCGTTAAAACCCTCCGAAGGAATTAGGTTTAGCCGTTTGACCGCTGAGTCAATAACCCTAATTTTTGACCATTTCAAACCCTAATAGTCTAGGTGTTCTGCCGTGGACGAAAACGCCCTTTACCCTAGCTTTAGGTCAAAGAGTCGTCGTACTCTGTTTAGGGTTTCCCGCCGTGGAATCCCTAATTTAACCCTAATTTCATTTAACAAATTCAACATAGAAATAGGAGTTTTAAGACTCCATGTAAGCGTGTCCTTAAGATACATTTATTCCCCATTGAAACCTTGACCACAGTCAAGAAGTTTCTAACCTCCCTTTCGAGGGGAACTACAATTACTCTAATTCCATTCCCGTCAGGATATGTAGGCACAAGATGCGACGTTTTGCCGAGTAAACTTAGGACTAACCCTTAGGTCTTTAGGTCACTTTATCCCTTAGCTCAATATATATTAAAGCAGATAATAAAATAAAATAAAAAAGCATACAATAAACAAAAGGTTCCTGTAGAGTACTACAGAAGTTTAGGGTGCTAGTATCTTCCCTAAGCTTAACCAACCCCTTACCTAGATCTCTCCCCGCATTGTCTTTACGATGCAAAAATAGGTTTTTCCTCTTTTGACCTTTTCCTTCGGATAAATCAAAGAGCGGTTGTGAATTAAGAATTGTGATTCAAACTAATTAATAGTTTGATATCCTATTTCCATCGTAACAGAAAATGGCGACTTCACTGGGGAAAATCCTAATTTTTAAGGGTTACCCCTATTTTGTTTATTGTATGATGTTTTATTAATTATTTTTATATATCATGGTACCTTATGGGGATACCTATTATTGTGAGATAAGTCCTAACCCGGACTTGAGTGACCTTATTATAGGAAGATGAGATATTCGACGAGGCTTGCCGGGAGTGAGTCCCGACCAAGCTGACTCGAGAATCACCGCTCAGTTGAGACCCTTTCGAAAATGGTTCGGTTGGTCGAGTTAGTCGTGAAAACTTTTACTATTTTTGATTGGAGTCTGTGATACTGGGGACCGTAGTTACCTTAACACCACTTTGGCCTTATATAGGACGTAGTGCGGGAACTATGTGGGAGTAGTCCTACAATAGTTGCTACGCGATACTACACTCAAAAGAGGTTCTCTTGAGAATATTATTGACCTCTGAGTCAGTCGGAAAGTTGATAATATCTGAAGGATGGACTGATGACTTTGGGCACTTCTTTAGAACATTGTTCTGCAGGTACAACTACCCCATAGTTCATACTTTTTGGGAAGGGTAGACCTTAACTCCATTCATTGTTCCTCTAACCTAGGACTTTGTTATTTGTGTATATTTGTGCATGGCATTCATAAAACATCATTCCTTGTTTCAAGGAATTCAACCGTCCTTTGCGAATTCAAAAGTCCTACATTTCAAAGTTTAAAAATGTTTCCAACTTTCCTAAAAAAAGAAATGTTTGCAATCGGTCGTTGGAGTTCTTGGAACCATTGCATGGCATTAGCATTATATTTTTGCATTGCATTTCCCCCCGGTTTCTCATGTCTAATTGTCTTTATCTTCCAGTGTTCCGTTGAGTCGTCAAGCTGATTCCTCGATACAGATATCAGACTAGAGCTAACTATAGACGCCAGATGTCAGAACAAGAGGAACATAATGCGGAAGTCTGAATGGAGATTGATGAGTTGAAAGCAGGTATGACTAGGCTTACCGAGATGCTTCAGGTACTGATTGCCAGAGGAGAGCCACCTCAGAGGACTGTCATTCAGGAAGTTTCAAGTGTTGATCCACCTCTTATTTCATTGCCACCCTCTACTTGGCCTGAGTTTGGTTTACCTCCTAACTACTCTCCACCTGTTGCATCTGCTGCTATGATTGGTCAGGCTGTCAGACCGGTTTTTCAAGCTCCTGTCCTTACTGATGCCCAACCTGTGGTCCACACGGTTAATCAGATTATCCAAGCTCCCGTTGAGAATCCTCCCTATGAGTACAATGTTGCCGGTGTTCAAGAAGATTTTGTTGAACCTGAGATCACCCGTGAATAGTTTCAAATCATAAACAAGAGACTCTAAGCTGTCGAAGGTACTGATTTCTTCAATGTCGATGCCGATAATATGTGCCTAGTTTCTGGTCTTGTTTTGCCTGCCAAGTTCAAGACTCCTGAGTTCGTGAAGTACCAAGGTCATTCATGTCCAAGAGCCCATCTAGTCATGTACTTCCAAAAGATGGCAGCTTACACCAACAATCAGAAGTTGCTCGTCCATTGCTTTCAAGACAGTTTAAGTGGTGCTTCTCTCAAATGGTATATGAATTTAGAGCATAATAGTGTCCACTGCTCCCAAGATCTTGCCAACGCTTTTATGAAGCAGTATAAATATAATTTGGACATGGCTCCCGATCGCCGTCAACTTCAGAGTATGTCTCAGAAGGAAAAAGAGTCGTTCAAGGAGTATGCTCAGCGTTGGAGGGAGTTAGCTTCTCAAGTTGAACCCCTTATAGCAGAGAAGGAACTGACAGGAATGTTCATGGATACTTTGTCTCCTTTCTATTGGGAAAAGATGATTGGGAGTGTCTCTTCAAGCTTTACAGATCTCGTGACTATTGGCCAAAGGTTAGAAGAAGGTTTGGAAAATGGGAAGGTATCCAAAGCTGCCGAATCTTCTAATGGTACAAAGAAATCCTATGGGAATTTTCATAAGAGGAAGGACGAGCAGACCAATGCTGTCATGACTGAATCAAGAAAGCCTCGCCAGGGATCTCAACCTGTTGTTGCTCCACAGCCAGCTCAGACCGCTCAACGTCTAGTTATTAGACAAGACCAGTTTCGAAATAGGACCCAATTTGATCATATTCCCATGACTTACACAGATCTATATCCGTACTTGGTTCAACGAGGGTTGATTACTACCAGGGCTTTACCACCTCCTAATTCTCTTCCAGCTGGATTCAGGGCTCATTTCCAGTGCGCTTTTCATGAGGGTGCTTTAGGCCACGACTTGGAGCATTGTTTTGCACTGAAAGCCAGAGTGCGTGAGTTAATAAGGGATGGAATACTTGATTTTGAAGATAATCCTCCAAATATCCATAAAAATCCGTTGCCAGCACATCAAAAGTGAAGCTTCGGGCTGACCCCAGAGGATGGCTCACTGATTTAATAATTAGGCTTTTGTTTCTCATTGTTTGTATTTTCCTTATTTTATTAGTTGTTTTCTTTCGAACTATGTTTGTACTTTTATATTAATGAACTGAGCATTGCAACTTTTGATTTAATTCATTTTATCTATTATTTTCATCTCTATGCTTTATCTTTCAAATATTTACTTTTGTCCGAATTTTTGGTATGCAAAGATTGGAGGGAGGATGACGAAAACGTTATACCCATAACTGCTGTCAGTATGCTTTCAATCAAACTTTGTTGACGATGTAAGGCATTGTTTCGATCCCCAAACAC